AAGAATTTGAAGTCAGGATACAAAAAGGGATCATGGCCATTTGCTGTGAATTCCTGCAGACTCTTTCATCTGTGCATAATGTATGAATGTATTTCATTTTCTAAGACAACTCCTCCAATGAAGCTATGTCCAAAATTAAGCTTTCAAAAACACTACCTTCAGTGATATAGGATCTCACCTCTACAGAACAAGATAATTTCTGCCCAATTAACTTGGAAATCAACAAATATACCAAAGATGATTTTTCAATTTGCTAAACCAGAGTTATAAGAACATGGAAAAAATGCTGATTACACAGATACAAGGTTAGACCTCAGTTGCCAGATATACTTGAACATTTTCTTGCAAAAATGAAAAGGATATTATTCTCCTTGACTGTCATATTCCCATATGGTAAACTGAAATGTCTCATTATTATTTTAATGCACTTTTAAGGAATTCTCTGGATCAAAATCTGTGCCCCTGGATTCTGTGTAGACGACTCAGGAGTTCCAGGCTTCTTCCATCCCAATGCTTTTCAGTTTCAAAAGCTCTAATTTTATCTTTCTAAAATATGTGTTTGTAGGGGCACCTGGGTGACTCAGTAGGTTAAGCCTCCAACTTTGGCTCAGGGCATGATCTCAGGGCTTGTGGGTTCGAGCCCCGTGTTGGGCTCTGTGTTGACAGCTCAGAGCCTGGCGCTGCTTCGGATTCTGTGCCTCCATCTCTCTGTGCCCCAACCCAACTCACACTCTGTCTCTCTGTCTCTCTGTCTGTCTCTCTCTCTCTCTCAAAAATAAATAAAAGTTAAAAAAAATTTTGAACAGAGACAGAACACGAGTGGGGGAGGGGCAGAGAGGCGGAGAGACACAAAATCCCCAGCAGGCTCCAGGCTCTGAGCTGTCAGCACAGAGCTCGATGTGGGGCTCAAACCCAGAAACCGTGAGATCATGACCTGAGCAAAGTCGGACGCTTAACCGACTGAGTCACCCAGGCTCCCCCCGCCCCCCGCCGCCACCCAAATTTTTTAAAATATGTGTTTGCGTGTGTGTGTGTGTGTGTGTGTGTGTGTGTGTGTGTGTGTTGGAATAACATGTAACAGATTCATTGTGGGGAGAAAAGTGGCAGGAGGAGTTACTGCTAGAAGAAGATTGGAAAACACTACTCCAGTCTGGCACTAGTGGAAGTTAGTTCCAAGTGTTACCTGCTTATATATAGTCCCTTTGTAATTACAGAGATATTGTGTCCAGATTTCCCAGTGTCCAGGTCATTCCTTGGAATGTCTCCAGTTCCACTACCCTCCCATTTGACCTTCAGTCCTGCATTTCCAACTGCCTATTTGGATATCATCTCTCAGTCTCCTCATACTCCAATTATTAACCTCCGCCATAAATCAGCCACCTCTTCCATTTTCTTAGCCCTTGCCAATGACCCCATTATAATCTCAGGTACCCGTCTTCAAGCACGTGGAGTAGCATTTTTTACTCATCCTTCCTATCCAGTAGTCACCAAGTTTGGTTTTATTTCTTTTCTTCTAAATCTTGCTCGCTTGCATTTTTCTCTGCTTTCCCATTGCCCCCATTCAAATCTGATCAGAGCATCTGATGTCTGGGCTACCTTCCTCAGCTTCCTATTGGCTTCTTGACTCCATTCTTTTCAAGTCTAACTCATTCTTCCAGACTAATGCTACTTAAATGCCCTCTTTCATCTTGGTACTTCCCTATACATAACATTAAATCGTTTCCAGGTGGTTTTGAAACCAAGTCTGAACTATTCTGCTTTGCTTTCAAGGTTCTGCAAAATCATCTGGCTCTACTCTCTTTTCAAATTAGGTCAGTCTCCTCCCTTTCGTATAAAAATATTACTACTCCAGCATCGGTGCCTTTATGTAAACATGTTAAGTTGACCTGGCCTAAAAGGACCCATCCCTCTGCCTACTTCTTCGATCTTCCTCTCATCTTTGCTCATCTGTTACCCATGTTCTTCACATAGTCAAGTACTTGCAGTTCCTTGAAAACACTTGTCTCTAGGCCTTTGCACTTGCTTCCTCCTCCACTGATGGTCTCCTCAAACTAAAGAGACACTTCCTGTGTGAATGCTTCCTTTATCCTGCACTCCAGGCAAAATAATCACATCTTCCTTGAAGCCTCTATGGCATTCTACACATACTTCTGTTATAGACTTTATCACACAATATTGCAATGTTTTGATTACATGGTTGCCCGATTGCTCTTTTAGATTGTGAGCTACCCTCTCAGAATAGTTTTAGACTTGGTTTCAAAACAAGGTCCTTGACCTCCCATAACTCACAGTTGTTTTGTACTCCCAGTGAGTCACTTTAGTAATTCAATAGGTATTTGTTGAATGAATGAATAAATGAGTAGATTTCTTCCTAAATCCTCTCGCTCCTTCTCACCTTAGATGTCTGAAGCCTCTTTGATCTTTCTAGTCTTCCATCCCTTCTCTGAAGCCTGATAGTTCTTATGGTTTCATACTGTAAACATTTGGATGATCTTTTAAAACTGAATCCCAAGCTCCTTGAGGGCAGGGACAAATCTTATATTGTCTCTGTCATTGCAGTAAACACAGTGCAGAGCACATAGTAAAAGCTAAATATATATTTTTCCAATTACAGTTATATAAATTGTGGACTTAGGAAAATAATGATTGCTAATAGTTAACCTGGAAAATTCTAAAATTTTTTTTCAATATAATTGCAGTCATAAAATGAGGTACTAATTCATTCAGAAACTATTTAGTGAATACCTAGGAATTTCCCGGCACCAAACCAGTGGTTGAGATACAGGCATGAATTCAATCAGTAAGAAAATTCTTCCAGGTAAAACTAGTATTGCTCCATAGAAGCTGTGTACATTTTTTTTTTCACTTTTAAGTTTGTAAATTTGTAATTGGTTAAGTAGTTTTTGAGTGACTACCAGATAACTTTGTTTTTTGAGTATCTTATAATTCTTCCTGGCTGATTTTTCTCACAGGAGCACTGAATTCTTTTTTTTGTATCTGAGATTGTCATGGTCAAGAAAGAGGGAGAATCAGTTCTGAATGATCTGGTCTAGTTTTTTTGGGTTTTTTTTTTTTTTTTTTTTTTTTTTGGTCCAACCCATGTTCAAAAAGTAGTGGGTTTAACAGAAAAGTAAGTTGTACATGCACTCTAACTTGAATGCTCCCCAGCTTACTTAGGCCAACCAGATGTCACTGAGTAGTTTCTATCATGGTGCTGTGATGACATCTAACCAGCATTACCAACCAGAATCCTAGAGAGTGTCATCAGGCATGCTTAGGGTAGAAAGGTAGATACTGCTCTGTGTGGTACAATTTCAACCCTTTGCCATATCTTAGGTCAAATGACTCACTCCTGATTTAAATCTAAATTTAGTTTCTTGTTTTCCTGTTTCTTTATGCATTAGTTTACTTAAAATTTCTCAGTGACTACTAAGGGTCTGAAACTGTGCTTGGTGGTCAAGATACACAGGAGAACCACTGCCCTCAAGGAGGTCATTTGGATAACTGGATAGTAGTCTATACACCATTATAGAAATAATATTTAATATTGCCTTATGTTGCCTTTGAAAAGCAGAATTCAGTATATGAACACATCTTTGGACTAGAATCTCTTGAATCAATATGCAAATAAGAATAAAACTATTATTATTAATACTATTACTGTCCCATAATACCTATAATATGAATACTGTGTAAGAAAAAGACAAGGCCCTGTTTAAACACCTAGAATAAATGTTAAATAGTAATTAAGTCATATTCTACTAGTAAATAAATGGTTAGGAAGGCAAAGTGACTGTTACAGGATTCTAAATACCAGTAATTCTCTACAAAAGCAATACACATAAAGCAGTTTATTCATATATTATTACATTATAATATTAGGGTTTGCAAATATCACTCTGGGTTTTGTGAGGCCTGAAGCTCATAAATGTGGAAGAACCCCTTAAAAAATAAAATAAAATTAGACCACAAAGTTAGGAATCTGATCAGATTTGAATGGGGGCAATGGGAAAGCAAAGTTAGGAAATGCTTATGCGAATGAGGAGCCCTGAAGCTTCATTTGCTTCAAAGAAAAGCTAACTGGTAGGCACATAAAAGATTAATATCCTCTCTACTCATCAGTCATATTAGGGAAAGACTTGGACTTTAAGGAGAATAGTGTTCATTAAGCTGATATCAAAAAGTTTATAATAAATACATGTAAAATGAATCTTTAAATTGATCTTACTAGGCCACAGCCTTATTCTATCTTTATTTTATTAATCTTTATTCTATTATTTGGCTTTCTTTAAAGTTAAAAAAATGCCACAGGTATTCATTGAGTACAGATCTTAAATACTTTCTTTTTTTAAGCTTCAGGCTATAGACTGTGCTATCCAATACCATAGTCACTGGCCACATGTGGTATTGGGCACTTGAAATGTGGCTGGTGCAACCAAGCCTGAATTTCAAATTATATTTAATTTTAATTAAATTTAAAAACTGATACTGAATTCCACTGTTAGGAAATTTTGAACTATGTTTGGAACAACTTGGGTATGTCAAGCTACTTTTTCAACTATAAGTGTTACGAAATCTAGATGCAGATTAAGTATTTCCTAGGAAAATTTAGCAGTCAAATTGAGATGTGCTGTTTATAAGTGTAGAACTCACACTGGATTTTAAAACTCTAGTATGCCAAAAATAAGGTGAAATATTGTATTAATAATTTTTATATTGATTACCTGTTGAAATCATAATATTTTAATATGGTGGTTAAATAATACATAATTATAAAGTTAATTCCACCTGGTTCTTTTTATTTTTTGGAAATCTGGCTACTAGAAAGTTTTAAATTGCACATATGGCTGATATTATATTTCTATCGGAGAGTGCTACGTTACACTCTTTTTCGCAAAAGGAGTGTATAAGTTTTGAAACCACATACTTAAAAGAGAGACGTAGGAGGATCCGGGTGGATGGAAAGCAATTACCAAGCATTACTAATGGGACATTTTTACCTTACTTGAGGTGGTGGAATTCCTACCACTATGCAATCCAACTGTACTCTGGTTCCTTCTGGAACTTCTCTGCTCCGTAACTTTTGAGTGAACCGGGGAGGTTGCCCCAGAGGTTCTTCATAGTACAAAGATGAAGGTGAAGACCCAGGGGTGGTGTCTCCACCAGCTGCCTCACTGGCAGCCAGCTCAGCTTCGCGCCTCTTAGCTTCCTGCCGTTCAAGGGCGTGATTCACTTCATTATCCCTAGTATCTGCAGGGATAGGGATGGGAACAGAAGATCTTTCTCTTCTTTCTGAGATATCTGAGAAACTGGAGCTATTCTCCTGCATAAGTTTGTTTTGAGATTCCAATTTACTCTTGTGGTTTTTGCAGGCACGAGGTCTAATCCTTTTGGAGCTATGGGCTTTGAAAAGGGAAGACAGCTCTTCAATGAAATCGGCAGCCTTATTTAAGAATACTTTTTTGGACTGGGTTTCAGAACTATACTGTGGCCTTTTTGCCTCCTGGGAGCTCTCTCTAGAGCTAGTAGAACCTTGAGAGTTATCCTGACAGCAGTTGGGGTCAAAACTTGATTTAGGTGAGTGTTTCATTTGATCAGATGAAAGGCGTTTTCTAGCTTGAGCATCATCTGCTTTCTCCAAAGGGTCATGATTGATGGCCAATCTTGCCAGATTGACACTTTCATCTAATTCCTCTTGGCTCAGGAAGGCTGAAAGATCTGGAAGGTCATCTTGGCCTCCTCCCCCTTCAGCAGCTCCAGAAGGATTGCCAAAATGGAAAGGGTTGGAGGAAGGTTCTGCTCGACTCCTTTCATTGTTTCCCCGGTGTCTAGTTTCTGCTAAATAACTCTCTCTTAGAAGCTGAGATATGGAAGTAGAAGCTTCTACGCTGTCGTCTTGCATGCTGTTACAAATAATAACAAGAACAAAAAGTTTCAGTCATTTCTAAAGAATAACAAGTCTATGTTTATTAGAGCATGATGGATTCTTAAGAACTTAAAGTTTGAAATAAAAAATTGCCTAATTTTGATACTTTTACAAAATTTCCATTGAAGACTTAAAGATTAACCTCAAATTGTAATATGAAGAGGAACTGAATGAGATTTCCCTGTAATATAAAATAAAAGCATGGGTGATAAGCACTGAATTAAATTCTTTAACACAAGTTCAGTTGTGAAAGCTATAATGTAACTATAGTGAGATTAAATGCAATCTCTAAGCATAATTTTGATAACATCTGTAAAGGGCTTTTAGTTATAAAGACCTTTCATACACAGAAATTTGCTCCTTTACCTTGAATGTAATAAAATAATAAAAAGGAAAAAGTTTTTCATTTAATTCAGAAAAAACCCTACATAAACGGTATTATCTCCTATTGCTTCAAGACTTTTTCATTCAGCTTCACCCACACTGGTTTCTTATCATTTCTTAAATATTCTAAAGTCACATCTGAAATGCCTCAGAGCATTTGTACTTGCTGTCACTTATACCTGGAATGCTCTTTCTGACAATGTTATATGACTCATTTCTCACTTCCTTAAATTACCTGGTCATCTATTCTCTCCTCCGTGATTCCTTCTTTATGACTCAACATAAGGTGGCAATCTCCTTCTAGCCTATACTTTTTACCCAGTTTAGTTTTCTCAGTACCAGCTAACTCTATGAGAAATCTTACACGCACATTTTTTAAAATGTTTATTTATTTATTTTGAGAGAGAGAGAAAGCAAGCAGAGGGGGAGGGAGAGAGAATCCCAAACAGGCTCCATGTTGTCAGTTCAGAGCCCAACTTGGGGCTCAATCTCACAAACCATGAGATCATGAGCTGAGCTGAAATCACGAGTCAGAAGCTTAACCAACTGAGCCTCCCAGGAGCCTCTCTGCAGGCACATTTTTTAGCAGCTTGTCATTTTCCTTTTACTACTAGAATGTAATGTCCACCAACATAAGGAATTTGATCCCAATAAATGTTTAGTGAATAAATTCTTCTTTGAAATGGAAAAAAAAGATACTGACTACATAATCTTATTTACTTACCAAAGACATAAATTTGATATAGTTCGTGAATATAAATAATGTTTTTGTTTTTTGACTAGAGACAAGTTGTTTAAGTTCAATATTGTTTATAGGTTCAATCTGCTCTTGAAAAGTATAATGATTTAGCCTTTTCAAATAAGGTATAATTAATTTAATTTCTACAAAGATAGGAGTTAGAGCCTAGGTTTAAAAAAAGTCTCTCATATTAACATTGGTGAAGAGGGGTTATAGAAGACAGGGAAATGAAGTGCAAGACAGGACAACCTATACTACATTTCACTGTATACCCTTTCCTCACTTTTGAGTTTTAATTATATGAGGATATTACTGATTCAAAAAATAAATAATTTTTAAAATATTAAGAAAATACTACCATAACTTTAGTTCAAAGCCCCCCTGGACTAGAGAGTTTGGTAATGCAAAGCACTTTTATATGATTAACCTTTTATCATTTATTTACTCACACATTTGCTAGAGGGATGGCAAACTTGTGACCCGTAGACTGTTACTCCTCTTTCTTTCCTTAAATGATACAGCTAACAGATTACAGTGCTCTTCCCATTGATCTTGACTGTCTTAACACTCCACTTCTTCAGCCACGACTAATCAATCAGAGATGGCAATAGAGCTGAAGGTTGTTTGCCATTCTTGGCTACTATGTTCTAGGCCTTATGCTGGGAAGATGGAAAGGAAAGTAATCTTTCCTCTTAGGCTTTATGATTCTATCACAAAACTTGTTTTGGTTCACTCCTTTCCCTTACACGATAGCCTCACTTTACATCACAAAGAAGGCTTCCTAGGAACTGTTCTAATTCTCAAACTTTTAGAGTGCTGTCCCAAACTAACCTCTAACTTGGCAAAGTAAGCAGTCACCTTGAGAGGGCAATTAGAGATGGCTAAAGAGATCACCAACAGCAAAATATTTTCCCACATACTTGTTACTGCCTGAAATTGCCACTACTGGAGTCCTTTGTTTGGGTGAAGTCTATTGTGCCTTAAAAAAAGATGAACTGAAAATGCAAAGGTGTTGGATGGGTGCAAAGATTTATCTACAAAGATATTCATCACAGTATAGATGATAATATTAAAAAATTGAACCATGTTCAATAAGCAATTAGTTAATTAAATTATGATATACTCATTAAATAGAACTATCTACCATTTTTAATTTGGTAGAAAACTAAATGATATACAAAATAGTATATGAAAGTATAATTGATATCCCAATTGAAAATGTGTCCCATTTGTGCATTAACTTTATAAAAGAAGAGGTTTTTTTTTTTTCTTTTTTAATGTTTATTTATTTTTGAGAGAGAGAGACAGAGCACGAGCCGGGAAGGAGCAGAGAAGGAGGGAGACACAGAATCCAAAGCAGGCTCCAGGCTCTGAGCTGTCAGCACAGAGCCCGACGAGGGGCTTGAACTCACAGATCGCGAGATAATGACCTGAACTGAAGTCGGATGCTTAACTGACTGAGCCACCCAGGTGCCCCAAAGAGGGTTTTTTTTTTTTTTAATGTTTATTTTTGAGAGAGATTGAGTAAGAGCTCTGAAAGGGAAGGGAAAGGGGGAGGGGCAGAGAGGGGGGAACGGAGGATCTGAAGCAGGCTCTGTGCTGACTGACAGCAGAGAGCCTGATGTGGGGCTCAAACTCATGAACCATGAGAACATGAGCTGAAGTTGGCTGCCTAACTGTCTGAGCCACACAGGCGTCCCTAGAAGACTTAAAGAAAGATATGTGAAATAAGGTGCAAAATGCTATTTGAAATGCAATTGAAGTACTAATTCAAAATCCTTCTCATTTGTAAATCAACTATTTCATAGTCTTGTGTGAATTTCTGCACATACAGAAACCTTGATCAGATCCTTGAACAGTGTGGGTTTTAGAAGCACCAACCCTTATAATAAAAAATCCACGTATAACTTTTAATTCCTCCAAAATTTAACTGTTAATAACCTACTGTTGACCAGAAGCCTTGCCAATAACACAGTCAATTAACACATATTTTGTATTATATATGTATTATATACTGTATTCTCACCATAAGGTAAGCTAAAAAAAAGAAAATATTATTAAGAAAAGCATAAGGAAGAGAAAATGTTTTTACAGCACTGTACTGTATTTTTAAAAAATCTAAAATAACCTGTGTATAAGTGGACACATATACAATTCAAACCCATGTTGTTCAAGGGCAACTGTATTTAAATGGAAAGGGAAAATGAAATAATTTATAAATAAGAATGGCCTCCTATTAGGTGAACATTATTGTATATTGCATTTATGTAACTTCATCTCTAACTCTGTATTCTAAGATGGCTTTTATCTCGAGGCAACATGGAATGAGCATTGGTCTTGGAATCAGATTGGTTTTCAAATTCTGGGTTCATGAACTCTTAGGAGTTGTGTGACTTTGAGTAAATCACTTCTTTGAGCTTTGGATTTCTCATCTGTAAAACATGGATGATGTCTATTTTCAAGGAAAGTGAGGATCAATAACATTATGAATGCAAACCCTTAAAACAGGGCTAATCCCTATAATGGACACTCAAAATCATGTTAGTAAAATATTTAGGTAAAGGTGATGTTAATGTTGAAAAAGTGTTAAAACTTTTATATTTTTGGTGAAAATAGGAAAGAAAATACTCATAAATGGTATTCACTGCTCTCTGTAACCATTTTTTTTTCTTTTTGAAAGAAAAGTTAATTGAGGTGTGAATGTGTGCCTGCTCTGATGCTTATGGTCATAAGAAATTATTATAATAACAAAACCTTCAAGTACTCAAAATAAAGAGTTGCTTTAATGGTCTAATTTAATAAATGTTTAATTAATTTCTTTAATGTTCTTTAATGTAGTATTTATTACTTAAAACTTTGAGGTTAGATGGGCATTGAAGAGGGCATCTTTTGGGATGAGCACTGGGTGTTGTATGGAAACCAATTTGACAATAAATTTCATATATTAAAAAAAAAACAAAAAAACAAAAAAACTTTGAGGTTAGATGTGATTCAAATCCCAGTTCTGACACTTTCTGGTTGTATAAACTCAACAAAGGCACTTAACCTCTGTAAGCTTCAGCTGCCACATCTTCAAAACAGGGATAATAACAGTAGTCATCTCATAGGTCGAAGTGATGATTAAATGTGTTTGGCATTTAGTAAATGTTCAATAAATGGTAATTATTATTATTATTTTTATTGCTATTATAAAACAACTATAGTGACATACCATGATAAGAAATGGAAGTAGAACTAGTGAAGTGATTGACCCAAGGACAAACTTTGAAGAGAAACTGAATTCCATACATGTAGCTAATTCAGCACTATTTATATTCTGTTGAAACACATGTAGTCTCATGAGTGAACTGTGCTGCCTTCAGATCTTTGTGTATATTTTCTTAGTGTAGGCCGCTCCCTGTCCGCACTTCCCTTCACTACCTTACTGGGCCAAGTTACTGGTCTTCAGTTCTTAGCTGAGACATTGCTCTGGGATTTCTTCTTTGTTCGGGGTTGGGTACCTGTGCAATGTACTCCCAAAGTTTTCTGTCTTTATCCCCAAACACAGCACTTATCACAACATATTAAATTTGCCTATTTACATTTCTGTCTACTTCATTTTGTTTTTGTACACCATTATCTCTGTGCACACACAGCACATAGAAGGTGATCAGTAAATATCTGTTGAATTCTTTTGTTCATTAGAATTTCCTGCTAAATCTATTGTTGCTTATCTTTTATTTTAGTTGTAGGATAAAGTAATATTTCTATTTACGAAATCATATTTACAAAGAAAACTTCCAGACATAAAGAAAAATATAAACTGGTAAAGGCAGTAATAACTTCAAGGTGACTTCCAAATGAAAGTTTATTTA